TATAACCCATCAGTATATCTTACAGCTGTAAAATGAAAATGGAAACATTGGACTATAGGTACACTATACACAATGCAAGTTTGTGTTTCTGTGTATCATATCTTGATGCATTTCATTCAGACTGTGAAATTTGGATTGTCTTTTTGTTTAAAAGATGCAGCATTGATTACTTTACCTTGCTTCTCTCTGCAGTTCCCTGACCAGGCTGGACAGCTGAAGTGGAATGTCCAGTTCTGTCTCACCATCCCTCCCAGTGCTCCTCCCATCGCTCCTCCTGGAACCATTGCTGTGGTTCTCAAGTCCAAGATGCTTTTCTTTGTGAGTCCCAGCAGTAGCCGTCTGCAACCAAGACACAAGTCATAAACCTGTGACTACTTGAAGCAACCTGACACTGTGTCTTTGGTCTGATTCGCTCCACAGTTGCAGCTGACTCAGCGTATCCCAGTGCCCCAGGAGCCAGTGAGCATCATCGTGCCCATTGTGTACGACATGGCCACAGGCCTCACTCAGCAGGCTGACATCCCCAGACAGCACAGCTCCTCTGGGGCTGCTGCGCTCATGGTCTCAAATATCCTGAAGAGGTTCAACGAGCTGCACCCCGCCAGACAGGGTGAGACTCCCACTCCCACCTGCTGAACACTGAATAATTTACTGTACTTAAATTGACGCCAGCCAAATATTCTATTTTGTTATCAAGACTTCAATGCAAAATATCTTTGCTACTGCTAACTGAATTCTTTTTTTCTCCCAGGTGAGTGTACCATATTTGCATCTGTTCACGAGCTGATGGCCAACCTCACCCTCCCTCCTGGCACTCGTCAGTAAAAACGACAAATTCAGAGCCAGTGCTGAAACTCAACTGGAGTCCCTTTAAAATGGAGGAAGGACCATCCCTGAGCTAGCAAGACATACAACAGTAAAAGCTGTGGTCCTAGCATGCGTCTTCTACATTTAGTTTGCTGGACTTTTGACCTGATGCAGAAATATTGTTCAGAAAAGGAGTAAAATATGTACAGTCATGGACCACAGTCTTTATTCTTGATAGAAGCTTACAAACAAGATTTGCATTTATTGTAGATCTTGAGCAAGGACAGCATTGGATGCAAAAGGATATAAATGTTATTTTTTTTTCCCCACCGGGTACACTTGTAAACAAGATTATCTGTTGAAATTAAGGTTGTTTACGAAAATATGTACATTGTTGTATATTTGAGTGTTGAAGAGAATCAAGTGAGTTAGATTTTTGCTAGAGCCTTGTCTTCTCTCTTTTTTTTAAATGCCAGACTGATAATATTGTATCAGAAGATATATTCCTTAGCACACTATTTAACTGTCTTCTTGCCTTTACTTTGTCAATACCTCTGCATTTTTGTTTAAAACTTTCACTTTGGATACTGTAAAACTGTGATGAACTTTATAAGCCAGTTGTATTTTATTAAGACCCACTTTGAATCCTGATTGAAGGATTTGAGACATCTTGTCTGACTTTGCTATTTAATAAACCAAGCCCAGAGTTGGTTTGTGCTTTGAGGATCTTCCAGTGGCGGTGCTAAAGTGATCCCATCATTTGCAAAAGTGAAAGTAGCAACCCGCGAGAAACATGCAAATACAACTAACCATGCTTCAGCAAAGATGTGGGCAAATGTAAAGAGGCCTTGGCAACAAAATATACATAAAATATTGAAGTCTTATAGTTTTGCGCAATGTCATCTGCAACAGTGCAGCTTATTTTATAAACTTAAAAAAAAAGGCAACTATAGATGTGAAATAAATAAGCAGTAATTATTAGCCATTGGGTAATTTTGAGAAAATCAATCAAATCAATGTGCGGTTACTTTGATGTGCAGACAACTTATTTTCTAGCAAAAATGCAGATCATTTCCTCCTGTCAGTTTCTCATTTTCTGGATTTGATGTGATGTTAAATTTAAAAGGATCTAGACTGTGAGTGACACACCACTTGCACTGGTTATTTTTTTGTATTTTTTACAATGTAGCACAGATAATTTATTTGTTAACTGAAAAGCTTAAACGGTTTGTTGCAGCCTTGAAAGGGAAATACGGAGTAAAAAGTGAAATATTTTCTTGTGAATACTGTGGAGTGTTGGTATAAAGTAATATAAAAATAAGGAAGGGAGTGGAGTCAAAGACAATGAAGAAATTACAATGAAGTTCAGTGATTGGTTGGTAGTGTTGGGTTAAACCTGCAGTGAACACTTGTGCTTTATGTCTGCATCCTCACCAAGTGATGCTGTGATCCTCATCCCTAAAACATGACATCATTGTGAAAGGCTGCTCCTCGGTCTGTGTGGAGGCTGAAGGGGCGTTCAATGCCGCAAGTCACAGACTGCACAGCTGTTGTTGCACAGGGCGTTGGCATTGTATTGTTATTAGATTATTGTTGAGATGTCAACAGCTACATGGATCCTCTGGGAGTTAATAAACTGCCGTCACGCCATTTACACTTAGAAGAAACGCAGTCGCGCCATCTACACTTTAAAAAAAATGGATGCGCGGCTCGTATGCTTTGTACGGTAAAGTGTGCAATGGCAGACAGGAGCTTCATGGTGCATTCAGGTGCATCTTGTAAACTGACCAAATGTTGAAATGGGATGAAAGGTTTTTTAAAAAGTGGAAAAATCTGTGTATTTTGCTTATTTTGCTTGGTCAAAAATACTTACATCTATCTAACACAACCAATAGGCATGTGACAATGTACATGCATATTTTTAAAGACAAGATAAGCATTCATTTACAATTTAATCTAGCAGACTCTTTTATCCAAAGCGATGTACATCTGAGAGTAGACATGCCTTCAAACACGAATGGCGACAGAGCTGCCATGCAAGGTGCTGCCTGTCAGCAACTTCAGGTTCAGTGTCTTGCTCAAGGACAAATGGACTGTGGAGGGGCGGGGGATCAAAACATCAACTTTGTGATTAGAGGACAACAAGTTGAGAACACCCCCCGGTTCAGCTCCCCACCCTCATGGATATCTACACCAATAGGAGCGCCGTCAGGGAAAACAGGCTTATACAGGACCCCCACCACACCAGCAACAGACAGTCTGAGTGGCTACGCTCAGGCCGACGCCTGAGGAACATCAAAGTGAACACAGAGAGACTCAGGAAGAGCTTCTTTCCTCATGATGTCCTTACTGTGAACTCTGATCTGTGATCTCAGGTCAAAATTCAAATCATAGCATCTCATCTGTCAGTTACAGCACGCTGGGTTCATGTTAATATGTAAATAACATATGTACACATACACACCCATGTACTAATGCATAAAAAATACAACCACACACACAACTGCATTCTTGCACAGTGTACACACAACTGCACTCTACATTATTTATGACATTGTGACTTTTTTTTCCTAACTTTTTATAGTTTTCTATTGTTCTTTTTATGTCTTATTGTTATTAACAGCCTTGAGAACAGTCACTTTGCATTTCAATGCACATATTGTATGAGCATGTGACATAAAAACTCTTGAATTTTGAACTGATTAAATGTTGCAGCGATGTTTTCAATTGTGAAAGCTTCAGGTCACGCAGGAAATCCACTTTTAAAATGATGTCACCTGTTGGGTTAGGACACTTAATATTATACAGAACTCTACCAAGCTAGTTTATTCTGAAATCCCTATATTGTGAAGGTCACTCTCAACTTGTCAGCTCTGTTTATTTGTCAGTTTTAGGTGGGATGTTTTCCAAAATGGCAGGAAAAAGCATTACATATAAAGCTGGACCATAACTTCAATGATAAAGCTGAGTCCTAAACTGAAATAAAAAACAACTGTCATACCCACTGAAAACTAAAATTAAGAAAGTGTGACTGATCCTGTCTACTCACTTCAGAGATAAATATCCTTTAACTTTCACTTCTAATGTCAGTTTTAGATCATACCACTGACTACAATGTGAGCTGGAAAATACTCCAAAGCAGAATAACTGTCTTTTTTAACAGGTATTTCATGGCATGTCTGCTTTCTTAAAATTGTTTAAAAACTACACCTTTGTCATTATTGCTGTGTGTGGTTTTTTTTTTAAACCACCTCCGTGTCAGTGAACTTTGCTACTTGCTGAGTGTCACTCTATAGAAAGATTAAGTTTATAATGTTAATATTGGAATACGTGTTTATTATTAATTTTGAAACTTTGAAAAAACAGCTAATGACGAGAAGACATTGAAATGAGATTTTTCAGATTTTATTAAAAGTATTTTGTGTTAAATTTTTTGTGTGTTAACATATGTATATATAATATTATATGTGAATCAATTGTATCATATATTAACAATATATCTATTATTATAGTTGTTTATTATTACTGCCATGATTGGTATATATATATGGCTGATTTTCTTGTGTACTTGTGTCTGCACTGACTCTTGTCTTCCACATTGATCGTCTCCATTGTTGAGGTCAGCTGCTGCTGAGTCGTGTTGGTGGCTTCGTAAAAACGTTACTCCTCTTTTTTTTTTTTTTTTGAGACCGCAAAAGCAGAAAATGTCTAATGTTACGCTTTGATGGGGTTTTTAATAACTCTAACCTGCATCCAATGATTGTTCGCATTGTCAATTATTCTGTTGATTATTTTCTGGATTAATTAACGAGTTGTTTGGCCTATAAAATTGCTCAACGTTTTCTTAAGCCTAAAATGACTCCAAGTTCCTTCTTGTCTTATTTTGTCCACAACTTTCCCCTTTTGAAAAACCTTTGGTAGCCACTCCCGTAAAGATTTCTCAGTTTACGAGATGCACCTGAACGCACCATGAGGTCCCCTTTGGCCGCTCCACACTTTACCGTACAAAACTGACTAGACGCGCAACCAGTTTTGAAGCATCGATGGCGCGGCTGCGTGTGAGCGTCGTCATCTGCGAGGAAACAACGAATTGGAAATGAAGAAACATTGTTTTAGTCACACCGCCTGATTAGGACCAAATGCAATAAAAAGATTAGCAGATAAACATATCATCATCTGTTTTTCTCTGGTCCCGTGTTGCAAGTTATCTGCGCATTCATGTGCCTCCTATGGCTTTTACCAGCGGGACCACATTAGGAGAATAGGTGTGATAATCTCAGTCAGATATGGCAGTAAGTATATCGGAGCCGCTCCGTCAGCCGTGCATTTACCAGGGAGCCCTTAAAGGTAAGTCCCTGTGTTGCATTGTTATTTGCTGCTGCATTGTTCTTGTGGTGTTTGAATTACATTACCTACTGGAGTCCAACCACTCCCCTCCTCTCCTCATCAACCACCCTCCCTTGGACCTGTAGGATATATGACATGTGCAGATTGTTCCTGTGGGCTTGTGGTTATCAGGGGACGCTGCTGATGTGCTTGCTTGTGTGCTCAGTGGAGTTACAGGTGAAGAGACCTCTGATGCCTGTCCAGCTGAGTCCTGAGCAGGTGGGCCTGGAGATGCTGTGTCTTTGTGGGCAGCTGGACCTCCTCATCAGGGCACAGATGCAGCAGGTAGGGTGACAACACCACTGCAAGCATTATTCTAACCACTCCTGACAAAGCTTACATTTGTCTCCTCTACTTTCTGTCAGTTTCCAAAAGTCACATCATCCGTCACAGGGATTCTTGACCAGATGCTGCAGTGACATGAACATTCATCAAACACTAATTATCCCAGTGTGGCTCAGCAAATAAACAGGCATCTTGGACACATAACTAATGTACCTACACACCCAGTGAATGAGAGTCAATTAGCTGTGGGTGGACAGTACATTAATTAGTGTACATCTGCTAATGGCACCCATAGATTATATTGTATTGAGACGACAAGAAACATACTTGACAACGAGCTGATGTGCAAATTAATGTGCAGAAACTTACAGTGGTGACTTACATTTGAAGTTTCCCATCATCTGTATTTTTATTTTTTATTTTAAGCAGTTTCTGTCCACTTTCAAACTAAATAAATCTTTGACTACGTTTGTTACTACACAGTCCACATCATCATCATTTGGAAAATTTTTTACTTGTTGCCTTCAATTTGAGTTGCTGGGAATGTTTCAGAAAGCCAGCAGCCAGCCAGAATCTGTGAAGAGACACAAAAAGATAGAACAAAGGGACTCAACACCATAAAGTGACCAATAACTGACACAAAATAACTACTGAGAAACGACAAAGTGACATCAAACAAACAAAAATCCTATAAAATGACCTCAAATTCACACTAAATAAGCACAAACCAACCAAACCAAAATTTCCGCAAAATGACCACAAAAAGACAACAAATTCACATATAACTACCACAAAACGACACAAAATGACCCCAAAGAGACAATAAAGAGACACAAAACAAGCACAAAGTGGCACCAAGTGACTATTGAATGGCAATAAACAGGTAGAAAAAGACAAAAAATAATCACAAAGTGGCACAAACTAACGCCGTCTGACAACTGGGAGAGGACAAAGTGGCATAAAATAACTAAGAAGAGATGCAAAGTGACTACAAAATGGCAGAAAACAAGTACAAAGAGACACAAAATAACTAAATCATCATCGGGTAACAGTTGTACATGTAGTCTTTAATTTGAGTTTCTTGAAATCTTTTTCAAAGTCACCATCCAGTATATATAAAAAAATCACATAAATCATGCATTTTTCTCCTAATTGCCATTCTCCTAATGAGCAACTATCCACTTCATGCACATTCATTTTGGGATCTAGCTTCCTCTTTGTTTGTGCTGGAGTGTCAGCCTTTCCCACAACTCACTTCCACTTGACTTAAAAGTCAGTGTATTTGCCAATTTGATATATTCCAAGACATATAAACTGGTTTCATGTCTGCTGAGCACTCTCTGACACTGTTTATAACCATTTTACATCATTCTGTGTAGATGTTGGTCCTTTTTACGCTGTAATGTTGATTCGGAGTGACTGTGTTACAGTTTCAGGAGCAGTTAGGACAAGGCTGTAGCCCAGAGGAGTCCGACACCTTCCAGGCTCAAGGTATGTATGTATGACAAAGTATCTGAGGGTGACATGAGTCTTGGATAGCTTCTGGATGTTTGATGTTTTTTCTCATTATATTCTTAAAGGATCGGAGATTCTTGACCAGATGCTGCAGTGCCTTGAACATCTACCAAAGCCTATGCCACAGCTGGAGGTATCACATCTAACAGTAATGTCCAAATCAACCAGGAACATGAATGTACTACACACACTGTGCCCCTCTAAAAGACTGTGAGTCATGGTTACTGTTAACATGCTATGTCAGGAATTAGTGAGTGTCTGTGTTTCCTCAGGACTACCTGGACATGGTGGGTCTGTCGGCGATGTTTCCTCGTGTAGAGGTGTTTCTCATTCAAGGCAGTCCTGTCGACATGCTGGAGAGGCCGCTGATGGATGGTGAGAGAAACTCATCATTATTCATGCCTATCTTTCTGTGCTTGGAAGAAGAAACAACATATTTTGTAGTGCAGGCTTCAGGAAGATGTTAAAACATTGAAGTGTTTTTTTTAATTTATTTTTTATGTCAGATAGAGTTCAATTCAAGACAAGCATGAAAACAAATGCAAAGCTGAAAAAAAACAGTTTGTTTCCAATTGGAAAAATATGCACATGCATGTACTTTGAGTTTTCTAGTAATCTAAGCTTTAGCGACAGGTTGTAACTTCTTGATCTCAAGTAAAATCCTGATGTACCTTTAACNTAAAAGTCAGTGTATTTACCAATTTGATATATTCCAAGACATATAAACTGGTTTCATGTCTGCTGAGCACTCTCTGACACTGTTTATAACCATTTTACATCATTCTGTGTAGATGTTGGTCCTTTTTACGCTGTAATGTTGATTCGGAGTGACTGTGTTACAGTTTCAGGAGCAGTTAGGACAAGGCTGTAGCCCAGAGGAGTCCGACACCTTCCAGGCTCAAGGTATGTATGTATGACAAAGTATCTGAGGGTGACATGAGTCTTGGATAGCTTCTGGATGTTTGATGTTTTTTCTCATTATATTCTTAAAGGATCGGAGATTCTTGACCAGATGCTGCAGTGCCTTGAACATCTACCAAAGCCTATGCCACAGCTGGAGGTATCACATCTAACAGTAATGTCCAAATCAACCAGGAACATGAATGTACTACACACACTGTGCCCCTCTAAAAGACTGTGAGTCATGGTTACTGTTAACATGCTATGTCAGGAATTAGTGAGTGTCTGTGTTTCCTCAGGACTACCTGGACATGGTGGGTCTGTCGGCGATGTTTCCTCGTGTAGAGGTGTTTCTCATTCAAGGCAGTCCTGTCGACATGCTGGAGAGGCCGCTGATGGATGGTGAGAGAAACTCATCATTATTCATGCCTATCTTTCTGTGCTTGGAAGAAGAAACAACATATTTTGTAGTGCAGACTTCAGGAAGATGTTAAAACATTGAAGTGTTTTTTTTAATTTATTTTTTATGTCAGATAGAGTTCAATTCAAGACAAGCATGAAAACAAATGCAAAGCTGAAAAAAAACAGTTTGTTTCCAATTGGAAAAATATGCACATGCATGTACTTTGAGTTTTCTAGTAATCTAAGCTTTAGCGACAGGTTGTAACTTCTTGATCTCAAGTAAAATCCTGATGTACCTTTAACTAAGTATCCTCAAATAAGGGGAGACACTATAGCCGAATAGGGTAACATTTGAAACTAATAACTCTTAACTTACCCAGTTGTTTACTTACATTAAGACAAATATTTTTTGCATTGCAAGTTTTCTGATTATTTTTTTTGTTTAAATAGGCAAATAAGATATTGCATATATGGGCTGCAAGGTGGAGCAGTGGTTAGCACCATTGCCTCGCACCAAGAAGGTTGCCAGTTTGCATCACAGTGGGATCTTTCTGCGTGGAGTTTGCGTGATCTCCCCGTGCAGCGTGGGTTCTCTCCAGGTCACAGTCTCCCACACAGTTCAAAAACATGCTGAGGTTAACTGATGATTCTAAATTGTCCATAGGTGTGAATGTGAGTGTGCTTGGTTGTCTGTCTCTAAGTGTAGCCCTGCGATAGACTGGTGACCTGTCCAGGGTGTCCCCCGCCTTCGCCCTAAGTCAGCTGGGATAGACTCCAGCCCCCCCGTGACCCTAGTGAGGATTAAGTGGTGTATAGATAATGGATGGGTGGATGGATGGATGTTGTATATCTAAAAAAGCCTAAATTTGAAATCATTTCCAGAACAGAAATCTAGACATTGGATTAAACCAACTTTAAAACTATTGCTTCATTTTATTGACTTATTAGATTCAATGATTTTTACAGAGGAGATTTTGAATACCTCCTTTTTCATCACCCCATAAATCAAAGAATACAGTCAAGACATGTATGTTTTTTGGAATAAAATGTTGTATAAGTCATGCTATGGATGATGTGACAACTCAGCAAAATCTTTCAGAATACAGGGAGGAATAAAACTGAACAGTTTGGTCCATCAAAATACTACTTAAGTGGAGATTTCTGGCTCAGAGTATGAGAAAAATAAGTTATATATTTTTTCGGGGGGTATTACAAGTTTTCTGAATGTTCTGTTTAAAAATTCAAATGTGGTATGAGCTTACAACTTATGCACTAATTTGCATGTATGTCCAACAGACAAAGTGTTAGAAAACAAACATCTAATTGTATATTTTGGATGGTGTCTTTCTGCTCTGAAAAGAAACGTGTTATCTAAGCAAAATGTCAAAATTAACCAGTGCACCAGAAATGTGATGTTTTCGCGTCGTCACACTTTAACTCTTAAACATTTCTAAGAAAAGTGTTGTACTATGTACTCCACTTGACAGATGTAGTTAATTTGCAGATTAAAAATGTATAAAGGAAACATAGGCTACAATATAATACATTGTCATAGATTTACCTAAACAAAGAATTTTAATTTGGCTTCACATTGATTATCAACTGCATTAAATGCTTCTTACATATTAATGCAACAGTATTAATGATTGAGCTAAAGCTATATAATAAAGCAGTACTTTCGGCACACTTTTTTGACAGTATTCACAATGTTTTTTCTTAAGAAAATGGCTGAATGTAGGTCTTACACCTATATCAAAGTATTGCAACTTCACTTCAATTAAGGACTATGTTTCCACTGCTTGTTATATCAACTAATTCTCTCACTTTGCTTTTATATGCAGATTCCATGTAGTTGACAAATGCTATGAATGTTTTTGAAGAAGGCTTTCTAATCTTTCTTCTAAAACGCTGCTGCTACTGCTTCTTTTGCAGAATATTTCTTCCACATTGCCAAACTGAACCAGCTCCTGGTGCTAAGTCAACAGCTAGAAGAGGATATCAGGCACCTTGGAAGTCATAAGTACATTGCCCACCAGCTCTCTGTTATATATGTGAGGACAATGATTTCAAACTTTCTTCTTTTCAACTGTGCTCTCTTTTTAATTTCCTCGATGCCTGTGTGTTTTCATGCCACTGAACTCAACAGTGTGCTTTTTAATGTCTATTTTTTGCAGCAAGTCATCAGCTCTTTCAGGGGAATTCAGGTCTTCTCTGAAATAAAGAGGGATATTGAGGCCAACTTCAAACAGATGAAACAATCTCTGGTGGCAGAGGAAGGCTCTAGGCATGAACCTCAGCTGGCTGCTCATTATATCAACTGGTGAGTTAAAATCTAAATGATGAGTTGGGGGAGATGATGATTAATGCAGCAACAGTCTGATAACAACCCTGTTCTGCTCTCTGTGAAGGATCTTAGAAATAACTCAAAGCCTAACAGCAGTGGTGTTGTCACTGCCGGAGCAGCTGACAGAAGACATTCACCAGGCCGTGACCTTCATGTCCCAGTTCCTGTCCTGACTCACCCTGACAGACACCTCTGTATCTATGAATCCCTCCCCAGGAGTCTCCTGCTTCTAAATGAACTGATGATGTTATGAATGTGAAAAGGTGCTACACAATTTGATTCAACTGAATAATGACAGGACTGGATAATCATATAGTTGTTTTTTTTTTTACATTGTCTTTCTGAACGTGGCCCTTATTATTCCCTGTGGTGAGTCAGTTGTTTGGGATTGAATGTAAGCTTGGTAAATCCCTCCTTGCACTATACTGTTACAACTACTGTTACGTTTTTTAACCTGAGGTGGAATAATAAAATTGAATGCAATAGGGAAATGTGCTTACTCTCCCTCTCTTTAATGAGTCTGTATATGTCCTCACTTCAGAAATGGTGGATCACATCAGGTAGATGTGATCATAGCTAAGAACAATGCAACCAATAGCATGGGTCAGACCACATCCTCGAACAACTACAAAAAGACCCAAAATGAACACAAAGTTGTGTAAAACATTTATGAAAGGACACAGAGTTAAATATAAAATGACCACCAAGTGCCAAAATTGTATGTAAAATGCAAAAAAGTGATAAATTAACTCAAAACCACAGTGTCAAACAACTAATGCAAAAAAATACTATAAGGAAACAGCAAAGTAACATATTAAGAGATGCAAAATGACCACAAAGTGACACAATGCCACAAACTGATGGAAAACAAGCACAAAGAAAACCCAGAGGACCACAATGTGACAGTCACAAAGTAAGAGACAATAAAGCTACATACACCAACAAATTAATCACACAAAATGACCACAAAGAGACAACAAACTTACATAAAACAACCATGAAGACATACAAAGGGACTACAAAATGGCATAAAATGAGTACAAATAGACACAAAATAACCACAATGACATAATTTGATGCAATAAAATGACCAGGAAAAAAAGGAAAAAGAGTAAAATATACCTAACAGTTCACCAAACAGTAGTTCTAACTTTTACAAATCTTGTGTGAGCAAAGCATTAGCCCCAGCCAGCTAGCGTAATAACACCTAAATGAACATATTGCAAATAATAATCACAAAACAGCAGTAAAAACTTATTTACATGTAATACTTAAAGTAGATAAATGTCTTTTGGTGCTTGCTTGGCTGCAGACAAAGACAAAATTGAAGCTGTCATGCAAGTTAAACTGTTTTGAAACGTTAGCACAGTTAGCTTGGCTGCAGACAAAGACAAAATGGTGGCTGTAACAATGTCAATTTAACTGTTGCTGCTTTGGACTTGAGCAGCAGTTATTACTGAATAAAAAGTTAGAAACCAGCTGTTAGTGGCAGAACCTTTTATATAAATATAAATTAATAACTATCTGTTTTGGTTTCAGGTGCTTGCTGCTGTGGTTTACTCCAATGCCAGAATAAAACACAGCCATGTTATTAGTTTTATCTGTTCTTTTTCTACCACGACAAGTGAGTCATGTGCTGTGAGAAAGGCATATTAATTAAAGATGCATCTGTTCCACTCACATCCCAGTAGTCCTGTGGGCCAACATGCACAGTACAAGAACTGTAGAAGTGGATCACTGCAGCCATTAATAAATAATGTCATTAATTACACCTATGCCTTCCTGCTGTTACATGGCAACATATCTGCAGTGAGGAAGTTTGTCATGCTCCCTGGATGTCTTGCACCATTACAATGTAGAATTTTTTAAAATGTGAATTGACATGACATAAAGTAAAACAACCTGCAATGTTGAATAACTCTAAAATTTCCATTTTCCTTTTAAAAACACAAAAGAAAATGTAAAGTCAACTTGTAAATGTATCATAATTTCACCTTTTAAAAACAATTTGATGAATGAAACCAATAATTTCCAGTTAAATACTGTAAATATAAAATAATGAATGTCTTATTTTTTAATTATTTTGTTATTTCATAGTTATTTTATAATTTTATTTTTTACTGTATTTTTGCTGGCCCAGCTGCTGCAGTATTACCTTTTGTTTAATTTACTTTTTTTTTGTACATACAGTGTACATCACATTCATTCAGTTTTAAATGCTTTCCAAAGGGGGGGCCTGAACATCCCAAATTCTTTGTAACGAAAATCAATACAAAAATATCACAATCGCAATATCCGTCAAAATATGTTTTTTGCATGTTGTTGCATGTAATAAGTAGGGCCACTGTTTAGGGATTTCAGATTGGAAAACAAACAAAAAAAAGATTAAAACCTTTATCACGATGGTGATATTTTACTTTACTATACTGTATCTCCATATTTGTAGTCCCACCTGTTACATATAGGGCAACTTTGCTAGCCTAACATGAGTAAACAGCGCCTCCTGCTGTTCAAAACCTGCCACATGTTAAATCAGAGAATACCATAACAGCTCCCTGCTGAATTAACAACTACTTATAATACACAGGAGACGCATTCAAGACCTGGTGTGCAGGATATTTTACACTAAAACAACAGCAGAAACAATAACACAATTACATTTTGATGTAATGTTGTTTATTTGTGGTGTGTGGAAGCAAAAACCCTCCCGAGTCTACTCCTGCAGATGTTCGCAGAGCTTCGGCACGCAGAAAACCAAACCGGACGGTGCCCGTCTGTCACAGCCGCCGGGGGAGGGACTTAACTGTGAGTGACATTTCTGATCAAGCAATCACATAACCCCATTTCAGCTCTGTAGCCAATCAGAATGTGTTAGGCTGTCCGGCAACTTGACTGTGAGAGCTGGGGCAAAGAAGGAGGATATCCGTGGAAACATTTGAATTATACGAGTCTGACAGGCTTCTGAAGGAAAACTGCACATGACTGAACATCACAGAAAGATGAATGTGTGTAAAAATGGTAAGTTTGAAAAGTTTAGAATCGACCTCTACGTCTCTTTGTCTACTTGTGAGTTTTAATTTGTGGGCATTATAGTCTGTGAACCAAGTGACTGACGTTACAGCTGGAAAATATTACGCACATCTTCGTTTCTGAGACGATATATGCTAGTTAGTGTCAGCATAGTGAGGTGTTTCGTTCAACTCTCATGGGGCCAAGCATCCAGTGTGCCGAAGTGTCCTTGAGCAACCCTGCCAGCTGGAGGTGGACTCCCTGCGACCCCCTTTCCATTGAAAAAGAGTTATGGTTCAACAAATCTCTCGAACAAGATGACGCTTTTTTAGTGATCCCGTTTGCATGATTTTGGTTACACAGGTTGTCTGAAACATCTACTTGTCATACTGTGTTGTCAGATGCAGAGACACACACCTGAGCCCTGTGTAAACATCTGAGGAGGACATGATACCAGAGCCCACTGCGACAGCTGCATCCAGGTCCTCAGAGCAGAAGTAAGAAAAAAAATCAAAAAACAACCAAACATATAAGCTGGCAGTGTTTCCATGAATTCCTACAAACTTTATTTTCTATACAGGGAATCAACATGTCATGTTTTTGTCTTCACAGTACGAACTCTCATGCAGAGGCAACCTCCTCTGGAGCTGTCAATCACTCAGAGGATGACTCAGGGAACGAGAACAGACAAAAGAGTGTGGTAGGTGTCATGCGCTGATCATGCATGCATGTTTTTTTGCTGAAAATAGAAGCAGGGTTGTAGAAAAGCAGTTTGAAGAAGCATATGATGCTTTTCTGGTGGATTTTGCATAGTTTGTTATCATAAGCAGTCTTTTTCACAAAGGTTGTTTTGATGCACAGCTGCAAAAGATACAATTAAGACCAGTTGTTGGGGTTTTATGGATGTTTTCAGAGCTGAAATGGTTGACAAAGTTGACCTAAAACTATTTTGCTAATTGATTAATTATCATATTAGTTTTTCATGAAAATAACAACAAATCTCTGATTTTTAAGCCTCTCAGACATGACGAGGTGCTGCTTTTCTTAGTCAAGATATGGCTGTCAACTGATTATGTTCAGGTTTTGGATTGTTAGCTGGAAAAAACAGAAACTCAGAGAAATTCTAATTGACATTTCTGAGCATTTCTCAGTATCGTATGAGAGTAGAGAACCAAAGTGTATTGCAGAAACATGAGCCTGCTAAATTGAAATATTCAGGCAGTTAGATTGAGAAGCAGATGGCTGATGGAGACTGACTGAGACAGGCCTGGACAGCCTGGATGAGGTGGAGATGGAGAGGAGGAGGGATGTAGGATCAGTGGCCTGGGAGGAAGAGGGACAGAATTACTATTATTTTTAAGAACAAAGTCTAGGAGACAGCAGGCAGCTAGATCAGAGAGTAGTGACCTTGAAATTGAGAGCAAATAGTTTTTGACAGTGTGGGAAAACTGAAGTGAGGAAGAGAATAGCAGCAGAAACAGCCTTTATATTCACTGAAAGGAAATGAGAAAACATACGCTTCATTAGGTATTTTCAATGTATTTTTATACACTGTAAATGCTCATACTGATAAAGCAAAAACTTTCATTTACTCATTTATAATAAATAAAAGAGCACTACCCTATGCTGAAAGCTACAAGTGTTACTGAAGTATGATAAAGTTGGTGCAGGTGGACGAGCAAAGTTTCAGGTGTCTGACTGACTCCACTTTGATAACAGAGGTGCGTCAGTGCTCACACAGCAAAGTCCTTCATTCAGAAATTTTTTGTTTGGCCAGTTTAGAATGTAGAACGCTGGTAGAAGCTTATTTCTCAAGCATCTATATCCTTTCTTTCTTATATCTCACGTTTCCAAACACCACAGAGACGAAGGAAAAGAGCGCACAAAGGCTCAGAGAATGTCAAACGCAAAAGTGCCAAAGCCGGCTGCAGCAGCGTCAGCAGAGCCGGAGGCGGCCACAGCAAACAGAAGCATGTGGAGGCCGTCACGCTGTTTGAGGTCATCACCATGGGCAGGAGTGCCATGCAGGTAAAATGATCAGCCTCAGTAATGGACATGTGGATTGTTTTGTAATTTGGAAATCAAAACTGTTCACAGGCGAATGTCCAATGTCTGTCCAACCTCCTTTGTCAAAAATCACTGTTAAATGACAATAAAGTAGCACTTGATCTGCAGAATTGCATGTAAACATTTGCAGCAGCTTACCAAAAATCCCTTATTGTCTTTATGCCTAAAGATACTAGCTGGCATAAAGATGATATCCTATCGAATAAAAACGCACTCACTGACTCTCCTGCGATGCCTGAGCAGGCGGTGATAGATGACTGGATTGAGGCGTATGTAGCAGACAGAGACTCTTCTCTCCTCGACCTCATCAGCTTCTTCATCCAGTGCTCTGGGTGCAAAGGCAAGTGAAAGAGCAGACATGCACATGTGCAAATAGCTGCTTGAATTGGGTTTATAGTTTTGTAC